ACGGATACAATATTAGGATTTAAGTGTTGAGTTTGTAATCATCTCTATGTGCTCCATATATCACTTTAGTTATCCTAATTAAGGATTTTCTGTCAGTGGTTATTTGTTCATGCTTTGCGTATACCCAGAAATTCCTTATTTACTGTCTGGCAAATATTTTATCTTGAGTAGATGTTTCGTTTATAATGGACAATACCTTTAATGTAATTCAACTTTTAAACGATTGGTTCTGCCTTTTAATACACATATGTTTAGTTGCCTAGTCATATAGATATTTAATTGTACAATTGCTCTAGTCTAAAATTTCACAGTTATCAGTTACTCCTATACAAAACTGCGTGAAGAAAAGTACGCGCTTGTCCTCATTAAAAATGAAGGACAATAGTATAACTGTAAAAGAAGAAATCTTTATTTCACTGAATAATTAAAGTTAATCCACGATGTAAACTATAATGTAAATAGTTTCTACAAATATGTATTAAAAAATATGAATATTTAACGCATTAAAAATGTATATCAATAGATCTCTGAACATCGGTATTAGGCAATGTCTCACTTTTTATAACAAATTATTCATTAAACTATTGAATTGTCCGAGATCATTTATCTGCAACTTTCAGATGACATAACAATGAAATTGGGATCAAAAATTCCCTCTATTTTCTTGGCTTTCAGAAACTCCGGAAGGCTCAGAATCTACTCTTTCGTAGCTACTAATAAGTAGAATCTCATACCTCTACATGTGGTAACAGTTTCTTCCGTAGGCATATTCAGAAGAACTGAATTAGAAGCCACAACAACAATAATCGGGGATAGAGTCCATATAGCTATTTCTAATATGAAAAACATGTTTGTACCAAACAAGATTTTATGGATTTGTCTGCCCTCCCTTACAGTGGATCCAGTGACGTAGTTACTATATTTGCTAACGAATGATAGCCCTGTGCGAAATTCATCTGTTCCGAAACTACTTGTCAGAACACCAGTAAGATCAGCCAACTTCCTTGTATTATTTCGTATTTAAAAACTTGATTGTGTTGTAAAAGACGATTTAACTATGAGGTAAAAACTTTCGAAGCTATTTTTCTGCAATTTTATTGATATATTGATTGTATGTTTATGAAGTATTTTGGTTTTATTATTTTCATACTACCCTAGCTCTAAGCTTTTATTAGAACCGCAGATTTTCGCTATAGCATTTTCCACTTATAAGCTAGAACCACTTATTTGTGCACTCAATACTCCGTTCATCCAATCGTTAATGTTATTGTTCCGTGTTAATAGTGTTACTCAATTGATCTACTGCGTGGTCTGGTCTTTTATGTATGTAAATGAATCTCTGAAATATAATAACAATCTTGGATTGGTGATCGTTGGCCTTATGTTTTCCTTCTTCATTCGGGGCTAGCTACTATTGAGCTAACAGTCAAACATAGTCGCCCTCGTCCTTGCTGCGTATTGGTTGCTTAAGCTGTTCTATGCCTATTGGCCGGTTGTACGAAATAACAGATTGTATACATAAAATGCAGAGCTTCATCTCATTTTAAGTAATAAATTACACTAGTTACATGAGTAGGGGATTTGTGATCCAAGTCTGTATAGCGGATTCATTGCTAAATAGATGTGATTTATGAACAACAAAATAGATTCCAACAGTTGAATGGTCAAATGAAAGTTTATCATTAGGACAACATATAAACATTGCAAACTAGTTGCTTGATAATACACACAGGAAAGATACATAAAGATTCCCCTGAAAGTAGTTTCATGAGCTATGTAACTGCTTTTTCGCCTTTTTTCATAACGGAAGACTTAAATATTGATGAGTCAACTTTATTATAAGCATAATTTCTTCTGATTGATTATGAAGATTTACTTTATTAGTGTTGGTAAAAGAAACAGAGTACTAGAAAGACAGTATGAAACTTAAATAGTTACCATTCTACTAAACAGTTTGCATAGCTCGAGTTGCTACTCTCTCTTTATTATGAGTCACACTGGTATGATACAATAAAAATATCCTTTAATTGGCAGGTTATATGCAACAGGATAGTCTACAGACACATCAGACCACATTAACGAGGTAGGCAACAACTATTTGATTGGTTAATTATGGAATGACTAATTGAGTATCTATCCAACTGCTGATTTATGATGACTTTATTTTATCCTAAACACTTCATTTGTTTTGATCTCTCAAGCACTGTTACATATTCGAAAGTAATAATAGTAATATATATATATATATATATATATATATATATATATATATGATGAGATTGTTTGAAATGTATTTCGCTAATACATCACATAGTTCTAATAATCTTCGTCTTCCTATTACACTATCGAAATATATCAAAGGGACTAATTGCTTCTAATTTACTATAAATATGTCATTGTCTTCAACCTATTGTGATTTATAAATCATTGTGCAGCATAGTTATATGCCTCACTTGTATAGTTGTATGAGTTATGAGTTCACACCATAAGAGACGTGTGATAATTTGTCTTCCTATCTACGATTCTCTGTGGATGTTATGAAAATAAAGACTCTGCGGCGTATCACATGGGTTAAAATACAAAAATGTAGGTGAGGAACATGACGTTAGTGACACAGACAACATATCAAGTCTATGGTTAAATAAATTCACACTTCCTGAAATTTTGTCACAAAAAAAGTAAGCAACGCTTTTTTGTATTACTACAGTTATTCTTACTTTCATGACATTTTATATATAACGTTTACAATATTCAGATATAATGACTGTTTGTTACAACTGTTTTAAGGTAAATCGATAAGCGATGCTGTCCAAACTACTATTTTTCATATCAGTAGGAGCTAACTGTTAGGTTACACAATTTGTTCGACATGTCGTTGGATCAATAAGTTAATGCGTAAGTTTTTTCCTTTCATTTTTTAAAATCATCTTTTGTTGATTTCTAAATGTTTAGATCTAATCATTGAGCAACTGGAAATATATATCTTAGTTTAATCTGTCTCGGTTCACTGTACTCACCGTACTTGTTATTGTTAAAAAATAATAAATTGTGAATCGACTTAAACGATTTCTTTATATACTTACATATGCCTGTTACCCCTCATGGAGAAGTATGGACCGACCACCAGTATTCTTCATTCAACTCTACCCCGGGCAATCTTTTCCACTTGTTTCCAGTTGCTACTCACCCTTTTGATGTCTGGCTCCAATTCTTTGCACAATGTGTTCCCTAGTCTTCCTTCTTCTGTTTTCTCTTCAGGATTACAGGTTAGGGCTTGCCTCATGGTGCAGTTTGGTGATTTCCGTAATGCATTTCCTATCCACATCCAGCATGTCTTCCTAATTTCCTCTTCAGATGAAAGCTGTTTTGTTCTCTCCCACAGTAGGCTGTTGCTGATGATAGCTGGTCAACAGACATTGAGAATTTTGTGTTGACAGTTGTTTACGAATACTTGTACTATTTTTGTAATGGTTGTAGTAGTTCTCCACGTTTCAGCTCCGTACAGTAAGACTGTCTTGACGTTCGTACTGAAGATTCTGACTTTGATGTTGATTGACAGTTGTCTTGAGTTTTATATGTTCTTCAGCTGTAAGGATGTCGCTCTTGTTTTCCAAATCCTTATCTTTACGTCTACATCAAATCCTCCTTGTTCATCGATGATGCTGTCCAGATACGTGAAAGTTTCCACCTCTTTCAGAGTTTTGCCCTCAAGTGTGATTGGGTTGGTGCTCCTCGTGTTGCATTTCAGGGTCTCGAGTTTACCAATAGTTTATTCAAATTCTCCATCGCCTAAATTATTTTAGACATGATTGAACAGTTTTCTTAAAGGAAATTATTGCAATGTAAGGTGTGCTTTATTTTTTGAAGATTGTTAACGATCAGTTTTATGAGAGTACAGATGAATTTTGAAATTTAGTGTATTAGTTAAAAATGACACTTATTTTAAGTTCATAGAATACTAGAGCATTTCTTCCCGAAACCTAAAGCTTAAAACCTATCTGTGATATATGAAGACAGTTTTCCTCACTGACTGATATAAAGTTTAGACTGACTTAAAGCCATAAAATTACTAGATCTACAAAAAGAACATCAAACTTTTAGTAGTTTCAAATCATTTGATGATCTTATATCGTTTAGCAACTGATGTTCTATTATGAGAAAACTCTAGGTACAAAACTCACTAACCTCATTTACCTAACCATTTTAAAAACCTCTAATTTCTCTTTCTTTATCATTGTAGAAAACTTCAGTGAGTAACTAGAGTATTTTGAACGTCAGTTCTGAAATTAATGAGGAAATTTGTGGCTCACGTTAAAACTTTTTTTCAGTACTGAGTATTTTCTGAAGATAGATATTTTAATTAAGAAGCTTCAAATAGAAGTTAACACTGAAGTCTAGATAAATAATAGAAGCTTCGTGACTAAACCAATAAGCGTAGAAAGTTAATTTATTCCATTTAAACTACTTATGTGATTTCGTCTACAAATGTACCAGATGTTATCTTTCTTAATGCCCATTATATCAAGGAAGTCAAGTTATGTAAAACCTTTTAATTCTATATTTTTCGATCTTTTTTACATTTCTTTTGCATTAGTCGATAATTAAGATTACTGAACCAAATTATATTCCTTGAATTCCTTATTGTTTGATGGATTTTTTTAGTAAATATTTAGTGAATGCAAGGTAAGCAAAGATGGATAGTGGCTAGCAGTGGAATCCAGGACGCGCGTTTTGCCCTTTTTGAGACTCGTCAGCTGGATGTACCTGCATCTCAGAGTTGATGTTCACTCTGGGACTCGAACCCAGTACCTTTCGCTTCAAACGCCATCGCGTTATCCACTCGGCCACTGAGTCCTGATAGCCACTTGCTTGTGCAATCGGGTGAAGTTTAAATTCACTTAGCATTTTTTTAATCTTCCCATTGATGTTTTAGGACTGCATCTTGTCAGTCACTAATTTAGTGAATGTACTTTTCAATAGCGATAAACATTTCATATATTCACGTATTAAGATATAAAAATTCTTGGTACAAGTTATCACCAAGATATATTTTAAATGGATGAAGTGTAAACCATTAGAGATGAAAGAGAAAAGATAACATTACTACTACCATTTATTAATAACCTACTTAAGCTGTTAATCCAAGAATACCTTATTTTCTCCCTAGATAACAGTCACTCCATCTCACGCCATTGAGTTTAGTGATATCGATGCGCCTATTCAATGACTCGTAATTGACACCTTACATAGTGATAGACTTTGTTTATTCTCATGATTTGAGGCATTAAAGTCTATGATGAAAGGTCAAGGTCAAACCACATTAAACAGTATCCTTAAATATTTTAAGTCAACAAATGAAATAAACCTCTGGATTTCAACCACAGTTTTGGTTGGTTATTCAAACCTTTAGAATTTTAGACCAATCAAAAAAGAATGTCGATAATTACAATGATTTATTAAGTTAACCGTTTTCAATGATTCCTCTAGCTCATACGTAAACATTATTGTTGGTATCAGTGGAGGTGAGTAAATTGCATTTTGTATTTTTTTAATGCTAGTATTATTGCAGCGTCATACACAACTAAATCCATATTGTGGTTATGCTCAGTGATGCTTAGCTGGCAGGTCGGTTACTTGATCTAACAGCATATAGATAGGATGAATGAAAAATTGTTTGTAAAATCCTCACTCCAATGTGAGAGTGAAATAACTAGATGGAATTGAACTACAAGTGATAGCTGTGCTTTCGCTTGGGAACGTAAGCACTCCTGTGAATAAGTTACTATTTGTAAGCTCAATTGATTCATTTAATCATGACTACCGTTTAATGGAACGAAAAGACGTTCACTTTTGCTGCTGTCTTAACTGAAATTGAAAATTATGGATATTTATCGCAACTTTATTACATTAGTTCAACTCTGGTGACAGAGGTGTTCTTTGGTATTTGTTCGATTCCGTGAATCAACAAGTTTTATGGTGGTGTATGTCATCAATAGGTGTTCCAAACGAGTACATTAAGGTTGTACAACCTGTCTACTCGAATATTGTTGATTAAGGTGGAGCTTATAGTAGTCTGTTATCAAAATTGTCAACCTGTAGTGGTTGTTCTGTTTGGTGAAGACGCTGAAAAAATGTGGAGTCATATGACTGACTGTCTTAGTCAACAATGCAAACATGGCTGGAGTGTGTGTATCTCCCTCTAAATGCAAAATTTTGCTTTAGGAGTGCTCGTCGTCAGCCACCTAAATGATGATAGTGGGTAAATTAGTTGAGAAAGTCGACCACTTCACTTGTCTTGAACATTTCATCAGCTCTGATGAGTTAGTGTTTGATAAAATTTCAGCACGAATTCAGAATACTCGGTTGGGTTTTTCCGATTTACTTCACTTGTAGCCTAGATGAGATGTTCGTACGTCAAGTACAGGACGAATTTACCTCTTAGCAGTTCTCTCTGTTCTAGTTCAGAGATCTGATGATCGGTCACTAATAATCGAGGATATTCGTTGGTTAGTAGTATTCAATCATAAGTGTTTCCGAACCATTGATCGTTTATTTTAGGACCATTGAGTAAACACTGCTGAGGTTAGAGAAAGGGTGCTACGTTCTACGTTGCATATGACTGGCTGAAGTTTACTAATTATGTCCTTGTAAAATACGTCTGCAGTAAGTACTTGCCCATTAATCAATATGTAAATAATATATAGATCCTATAAGTTGGTAAAGGTCTTGATTATTCAAACCATGATTTCTTCATTAGCATCCAGTTATTATTCAATGATGGGAATTAAGGCGTATTTGCGAATTGTTCGCAAACTGGCATATCGCGAAATAAAAAAAAGTCCTGAAAACTTCATTTAGAGTATTTGAAAGATTCATTTTTTTGTCTTGTTTCATTTAATTGTCATTTAATTGATGATCCTTGAAATATTAGTACTGCTGAGCAGTTTTCAAAAATAGACAATTTTAGAGGAACTAACAAAAAGTAACAAAACATTTCAACGAATGGCGTATGAACCTATTGTTGGTCACCGGCTACCATGGGACTGCATCCCCTCACGATGCTCCACTGCCTTGTGAATCAGACCTTTAGGTCAAAGGCTCCGGGCGTTGCCCCTTAAGAAAACCACCTGCTTCAGTTTTGGCACCTGAGCAGTATCACAGCCCGCATATGTATCTGGTACCCCCTTGTACCAATATTTATGTGTATAAATAATAATAATAAATAATTGATATACTGGGCATAACTCAAGATTAGTGAATCGTATAATAATAGTTCATAGGTCAAAATAAAGCTTATAATAAGAGAAACACGAGTATAAATAGTTTAGTTACTTAACAATTATACAATAAAAATATATGTATGGTGTAGTATCGGTAATACAATGGTATTAGTCCAGAAATATATTCCAACAGTTATCATTTATTATTCTCACCGGGATACAACATACCCATTTCCACACATTATTATATTACAAATTTATCTTTCATTTTCATCGGGTTGTTGTACTGTATTTAATATTTCGGTTTTCAGAATAATTTTCCCCAAAACACCCTTTTATTATTATTGGTAATTGATCTAATGAGGTAGGTCGGATGTGAAAACTAGCTACGTCTTAATTGATGAGTTATAAACCAGGTGCCCGTTGACGAAATAACCCATTTCAAACACGTACACTACACAAAAAAACAAGTCACCCTTTACCTGATTCCAGATGAAACTCCTATCGTATAACTTCTTTTTAATATTTTTAATTTCAGTTAATCAAAAATGACTTTCAATTGGACATCGATTGTTTTGACCTTCATTTGTTTAATATGTAAATGTTTGTCAAATGTAAACTATCCAAGTTGCAGTGAATCCCAATATTTAATGCAAAAGAAATCATATATAGATTTGCTTGCAAGTGATAATGAATGTCATGTTATTTTAGTTGAAAGTATACCGGAGAATGTTACATTTTCAATGGGTTCTCCAAAACACCTATCAACCTATATGGCATGGGGACTTTTAATTGATTCTGCTAAGAAAAATATTTCAATTGCATCATTTTATTGGAGTTTATCCGTAGATAAAGAACTCAATTTTACTGCTACTGAACAGGTAATCACTGTTTTTAGGCCGAATAATTTTATACTACTTTTGGCTGTATTATTTCAAAATATGACTCATTCAGTTGGTAAAATTCAGCAATTAGACATAAACACTTTATTCTTTTCGTAACCATTCAAACAAAGAATGTTCATTTTGTAGGCTAAAGTTACTAGTTTCCTAAACATATCTCTAACAATTGTTTTATATAGATATCTGTCAATTGTACTTGTTAATTGCTGTTCACGAACTTAGTCTCCTTCCGACTACCTCCAACCACTTAACATCAAATGTCGTAAATCGTGATGTTGAGCCACTTAAACTTGTAGCTACACTGTAAATAGAATCACGATAAGCTTTAAGGACTATACTAAAATGACATTGATTACCACTCAGTGATCAAACTAATGTAAGTAATACTTCCTGTTAGGTAGATTTGGTTATTTTTGAAATTATATTTCCTGTGTATTTCTCAGTTAATGCATATCAATAGAGTAAACAAGTGAATGCATCTGAGCTACGGGATTTCTGAAAATCGCCATACATTTATACGTTTTTAAGTTAACATCCTGACAAATTTTACGAATATTCATATTCAAGTTAGTTTCAATAGACATCAAATAGGACTGGACAATATCTGCGTTAAACTTAAACTGAACAGCTATTTCCTCATATTCTCATGAATACCTGAGTTTAATGTGTCATTGTGTTAAATATAACTTCCTTCAAAGTGGCGTAGCATCTTTGTCGCATGTAAACTTTTGTCTCGCTAACATATTTACCCGGTATATGTCCGTGTACTTGACTTCAAACCACACTCTCAGTATTAGTGATATAGATACTACCTGGTTTCCCAAACCTATATGGGTGGAGGGTTGGGTTCAGTCTTGCTATCCTGTAGGTAAAAGTCGATTCTCTTAACCACTGACTTACCAAACCTCTTGTATCAGAAATTTACAATTAAAATAATTTTCTAAAATTTAAGATATATGTGACTATAAAACTAAATATCTATCGTGTGAATAATCTAGGTTTATTTACACAAAACATTGATTAAAACATAGAATGCGTAGGCTGTTTACATGATCATGCATACATTAACCATGAAACTCTTTACCCAATGCTCAGTTTATTTGAAACGATCAATTCCAGTCTTGGTATTGATACCCGACCGTTGCTGCTACCTTGACGTGGTGGTCGGGCTTGCCTATCGTGATGAACCAATCGAGTTATACTGGCTGGAACAATCGTTCCTCAAGGTCCTACCATGTCAGTCAGGTTTGTCGAAGAGCGGTAAGACTAAAAGTAGCAAACCCAAGGTCCGAATGCGAAGTCTTACTGCTGACTATACAGAAGTGTGACGGCAGTAAGATGTTTCCTTCAGATAACCAGCATAACAGCGATGCTGCCTTTCCACTGGGAAGGGTGGGGTTAGTAAAGGTCGACCCTAAAATGCACACCTCGTCTTATCCCACGGATTTCCGTCTCCGGCGGTGAGGTTCCAACAAGTACGTAGCTAACACAACTACCCATAAAAGGGTTGTGTGTGACCGACCTTTCTACGGTGTGGGCAACCAGGAAGTGATAACCGCCCTCATACCTATAACAGCACTCAAGATCACTGTATTCATAATCAATCTCCTTCAATTCCTACTATTCCTTCTACCTTGACTTTCAACACTAAACTTCCTGTCCCGGTTTCCTCCTCAAGTGTCACCATGACCAACGATTCTAGTGCGCGAAACGCTGTCCCAGGTCTACTTAAACCTCGCTCCAAACTGCACATTGGAGCCTTCAACGTACGTACCCTATGCCAAATCGGTCAACAGGCCTCCTTTGCTAAAACCCTAGACTCTCGTACCATTGATGTATGCTGTGTCTCCGAAACACGCATTCAGGATCTTAGTGTGGTCATTCACTTGACCTCTCCTCACCGAAATGGACAGCCAACGAAATACACCCTCCATGTATCTGGCGTCCCCATTATTAGTTCTCGTGGACTTGCGGGAGTAGGCATAGCACTCAGTACGAGGGCAGAACAAGCACTACTAGAATGGATCCCCGTTAACATTCGCCTGTGCTCTGTCCGGCTAAATGGCTCCGTAAGAACTCGGAAGGATAGGGACACACGTCGTTGCATTTTCGTCGTTTCTGCCTACGCTCCCACTGACTGCAGCCCGGATGAAGTGAAAGATGACTTTTACTGAAAGCTCTCTGAACTTCTTCGAAAAGCTAAGCGCTCAGACATAATACTCGTAGAGGGTGACTTTAATGCCCAATTGGGTAGCTTAAACCAAACAGAAAGACATTTAGGTGGGTGTTTTAGTACTCCGTCTCAGCGAACAGATAATGTTGATCGTCTGCTGCAACTATGCTCAGACAATCGTTTATTTTTTAGCGAACACTAATTTTAAGCATAAGGACATCGTCTAACATGGCGACCACCTTCACCAAACCAAAAATGAACTCAATTAGACCACATTGACAACAGTCATCTTTGGAGAGGCTCAATAGAAGATTGTCGCTCGTACTGGAATACATGTTTAGACTGTGATCACGCTTTAATACGAGCACGCATTTGTTTGCGCCTCACTGGACGCAGAAAAACTACATTAAGAAAAACCATTAGAATTAAACTGGAGGACGAAAAGCCAAAAGTAAGTTCCAGGAACAACTGAGTTCACATCTAGGCAGTTTTGTAAATGAGGCTGACGCAGATATTGCTTGGAAAGATATACGAACAGCTGTGGAAACAGCAGTTTATTTTATTTATTTAAACACATAACTATTGGTACAAAGGGACACCAGATATACATATGCGCCGCACAAATCTCATTTGATTTGTGTGAGGGCTGTGATACTGCGCAGGTGCCCAAACCGAAACAGGTGGTTTTCTTAGGAGGCCACACCCCGAGCCGTTGACCTAAAGATCTGATCCACAAGGCAGTGAAGCAGCGTTAAGAGATGCAGTCCCATGGTAGGCAGTGACCAACATTAGGTTCATACGCCACTTGTTCGCTCAGGATACTGGAGTCCATGTGCACCATTGGTTTGGAATCAGGGTTTTCCAACTCCCAAAGGTAGATCCTTCGTATCCACCAACCCGGTTAAAGAATAGGATATTCGATTTTCGTCCTCTCAATTTCATAAACAACCTCGCTATGAAAAGGTAGTGAGTATGACTTCTTTGACAATGTTTGTATACGCGTGTCCATGTGACAGCATTTAGAGAGGGATAGTGGAATCTCTTCACCCTCAATCGTACTAGGGAATTCGGGTGAACTACATATTGTTTTAACTGCAGTAGTTGAATTTACAGTTTTTTTGTAAATAATAATTCAAGAATATTCCATTTTTTTAAAATAGTTGTTTTGTTCTATGCACTCAATTTTTAATGATAGCAATCTTTCTTTCAATGAAATATCACATGTTCTTATTAATTCCTTAACCCGATCTGAATGATAAGGAAAAAACCATTCCTCTTGATGTTCATTCTACATTTACAACTGATAGGCCTTAGTAATAATTTTCTATGTTCAAAGCAATATATTGTATAATCTCTATTAAAGCTGTGTTATTCACTCCAACAAATAATTAGTGCTATGATTTGGGTAAGTGTAGTTGCATTCATGAATAAAAAAGTTCTTCCACGTCTTACATTCCAACAGACACCAATTATATATTAGCTACGATAAGTAATTTTTTCTCGATCACCTCCAACTACACAACAAGCTAATGAGAGTTGGTTAATTTTGATTTTCACTATTAAGTTCATATAATCTTCCTCATGGCCATCTCAATCTTTTAATTGCGAATATTTACATATATTTACCAAATGTATGTATAAGTAATAATACTTTTAAAAAGAATTTCTGCCATGTATGAACTTCAAGGGGTCAAATATACTAAAAAAGTTAGTTGGTCGAAAAAAAGACGTTGACCTGAAAATAGTCCAAAATGGAAAAGAAACAAATTCTACAGATTTGATGAACTTAACAGAATCTGGTGAGTTCTTATTAGTTGTTGATATATATAGGGTTGTTATTTACGAAGTAAATTTCCTAATTCAGTTTTTTTTTTTTAAAATAAAAATATTAGTAGTAACATTTAAATTTGTTTGGTTTTTTAGTGTCTCAGATTGATAATATCAGCATAAAACTTTTCATTTTATTATGAGGATGATTTCAATTGTGAATGAAATTCTGTTAAAAAATTGTCCTAATTTGAAAGCAATGTAAAGTTATACCCTTCCTCGTTTAAACTGTTTAGCAGTCTTTAACATGATCAAATTCTAGGTTCGATTTGTTCGTATCTGATATTTCTTAATTGCATAACACTAGTTTATACCATTTATTAATGAACATTATCCAAAAATTGATATACACTCTGTAACTGATAGGTGGACTATTTCATTTCAATGCGGTTTTTAGAGTTTTCAATCTCCTTAACACAATATAATAAGTTTTTAATTAGGTCAATCTACTTGGTATTTGAATCAGATTGTGTTCGTTCATATACTGAGTTAAAATTGATGTTCAAGCTCATACAGGAAATAAATGATATTCTTCTTGTTGAATAAATATTCGTTTATGCAGTCTTCGTTTTAGACTGTCCAGTTGTTGCAGAACTTTTAGGTTTATCATTGTTGTTTTTCTACAAAGTGTACTTTATCGTGAAGTAATTGTCATCTCATTAGATTTGTGGGGTGTCTGTGATACTGTCCGGGTGTCCAGACGAAAGTTGGTGGTTTTCTTAGGGGGCCACACCCAGAGCCTTCGACCTAAATGTCTGACGCACGAAGCAGTGGAACATCGTGAGGAGATACAGTCCCATATACACCATGGATTTGGAATCAAGGTTTCCTAACTTCCCTACGCTGATTCACTGTGTCCACCGGCCCCTTTAAAGCGTCGGACATTCGCTCTTCGTCCTCTCAATTTTGTGGACAACACCCCCTCCACGAGAAGGCAGTAAGTAAGAGTTCCCTGGAAGAGGCTATATACACGTGGCCATGTCAGAGGATTTCGAGAGAGAGACTGGGCTCTCCCCACTCAACCGTGTCAGGGCATTTGGGGGCCCGCAAATAATCAGGCCCAGATGACTCACCGCCGGCTCTTTTTAACGATGGTGGTGACTTTCTGGTTAAGGAACTGACAACGTTGTTTACAGAGGTCTGGGAGCTTGAGAGTGTTCCAACATCATGGAACGTGTCGATAGCTGTCCCTATCTTTAAAAAAGGTTCACGTCGTTTCTGTAACAACTATCGAGGGATAAGTCTACTTCCGATCGCGTCCAAACTATTTTCTTCCGTCATACTTTGTAGGTTGTTCAAAACCCGAGAAGGGTTGACTCGCGAGGAGCAGGCTGATTTTCGTTCTGGTCGAGGATGTATTGATCATATCTTCACCCTCCGCCAAGTGTTAGAACACCGTCATACTTATCGCAAGCCAACAATCGTAGTGTTTCCTGACATCAGGGCTCCCTTCGGTTCGTTGGACAGGACTTCTCTCTGGGATTGTTTATTGAAGAAGGGTGTGTCTGAGTTTATTAACATCCTAAAAGCAAACACCTCAGGCAGGGTTAGGGTATACAACCACCGAATTTGGTGGATTGGACATGTTCTACGAATGTCGTCCTAGAGAATTCCATGTCTTGCATTATTTGACGAATTCGTGACTGGTTAGAGAAAGCGGAGAGGTGATCAGTGTATGATACAGTGTCGTGGTGTGAAAGAAAGCTGTACACGATTTGGGTCCGTCGGTCCTTTACGACTCCCTGATTGGAGTTTGAGAGATGGTACAACACAGTGGCTAGAGACGTTATCAAACATGACTCAGAGTAGGTCAGTGGCGATCCTGCTGTAACTTTTCATTTTTTTCATAAAGGTGAACGTAACTTGTTTAACTGAAAGAATTCTTTCTGGTTGTACCTTTTTCTTATACACATTCTTTTTCTCTTCCCAATCTCATTGTTGTTGTGTGGCGCATATATATCCAGTGTTACCTTGTACCATTATTTATGTGTCCAAATGAATAAATAAATTATCGTACAATTACGTATCAACTTATTATTTACTTGACAGTTCCATATGAAATCACTTAACAGATCCTTATGGATTGGTAGGTTTCAATATTTTATACGTTTGCAAATAGCTAGTTGAATTTAGGAAACGAATATTAATATTTGTGGTAACATTGTCAAGTGTATCGAGATCTACCAAAAATGATGATAATAATTACCATTATCTGTTAAGCAACATGAATAAGCTAGCCTATAATAAGTCTTTGATTTTTCCACTGAAGAAGATGTATTTGTAAAAGTCAATTTTTGAGTTTTGCTTTATTTTTAGTAAGGTTTTAGAGAAGTGAGAACTGTTATTTTCGTTTACATTGCTTGTATTCTTTTTAGGCGCTCAAATTAGATGGCTTGATTTTCATCGACTTGTTGGACAAGGAATTTTGCATACAAAGTTATGGTCAGTTGATACCAAAAATGGTTATTTGGGTAGCGCAAATATGGATTGGAGATCATTAACACAAGTTAGTATACTGTTCTTTAATTTTCGTTTATGCCACTGATAATGAGTTGACCAAAACACTGATATTAAACGGATATCTACTGAAGTTTATAGAACTATGTGAAAGTCTGTTAATGTCAAAGCCTCATTCTAATGTTGTTTTTAATGGAAGGGTTCACATCACTTCCATAGAGGTGCATCAAACAGAATAATTTTGAAACAGACTGAACAAACTATATAAAACATTATCACAATTGATTGATCACTGGGTGGTGATCAATCTCATGCGTGTCAAGTCCTTAGTGCTGATCGAATGCTATCGATCAAGTTGCAATGTGGCCACCAGTCTAGGTGGCTCGACACTGCGTGCACTATATATATTAAGGTAACATGGTGGTTGGAGGTGGTCAACAGGAAACCCTGGACCCGTGTTTCGTGCTACTTGACACTCGTCAGCAAGGTGTACCTGTAATCTTGAGGGAACTGATACTCCCTGGCGGATTCGATCCCGTGTCACTCAGCTTCACAGTCAGAGACGTTACCAGTGAGCTATTCGGGCCGCGACCGACCTTCTGTAGGACTGAGATCTAATCACAATTGATGGATCACTGGGTGGTGATCAATCTCATGTGTGTCAAGTCCTTAGTGCTGATCATCAGCATCAGTCCCCTCAAGATTACAGGTACACCTTGCTGACGAGTGCCAAGTAGCACGAAACACGGGTCCAGGGTTTCCTGTTGACCATCTCCAACCACCATGTTACCTTAATATATAAAACATTGTACTGTTAAAGTTATCGTCATTAAAAAGACAGCGCATAATTCCACAATGTCTTAAATATTCTTGTATCCTAGCGAAAACAAGAGTACGGATAACTTCCTCGACCTATTAATGGACGATTATATATATAACTATTGAGTAATTAGGTCGTGTATATCTATATTCATCTTATTATAAGTTTCATTTTGACTTATGGATTATTGGCATACTAATTACTTGATATGTCTTGTGGGTTGAACGCTTTATTCAGATCCTAAGCTATTCGGATAACCCCAGGGCTAGCACTACTCAGCAACTTGAAGACTAGAGAGAAGACACGAGTAACAGAGAAAACTGCGAGGATCATCTTTGTACAGAAAATCGTAGGTATTTATGGATGTTTGCTTAAGTTAAATCAACATCCTAATTTAGGCAATCCAATTAACGACATATATTGCTACTGATCAATGGTAGCGTGCCACGTTGGAACTCCAGAATGTTCTGTCGTAATCTGATTGGTTGGGACTCTTTTTGAGCCTGTTGGAGTTCGCTGGAAGCCGACTTAACATTACTGTTCCTAAATTATATTCAGTTTATTGATTACTGTTTCCCACGTTCACAGCCACATTTGGCTTGATCTTGTACAAATATTATTTTCTATTTTATGGTGTGATGTGGTCTGCCTGTGTCTAGTATATAAACCGAGCATGCATGAAATAAATGATTCACATAGCAGAAACTGTAATTGTTGTTCTAGACTCAATTAGAAAGGCTAGGCGGACAAGGGACCAATAAGGATGCTAGACTACTCATACTGGTCGAACGTCATTGATTTGTCATAGTGTTAAGATCGGAAAAGTCGTTTTTCGATTGGTGAATAAATTACATGATAAAGGCCGAACATAAAATCATAACGAATTGGCATACGGCCCTCTCTTAATTCATAACAAATATCACATGAACGATGCATCATATCCCACTGAATTCACCAGTTCACATATGTTCGAAAGCACAAACATAAAAACCAGTGGTCAAATAATATAATCACGGGCGGTGCATCATGTACCTAAATGCTTTCAGACTGCGTAAACTGGTCTAATGTAAAATGTTAAAAACCATGTTCGTCAGTAGTAAAACACAATTGAAACAGGTCGTAGAACGAATACTGAAAACAGAATTTAGAGCTTTATGTAAAAAAATTGTTCAAGGTGTATTCGTAAGTTTCTGTTACTCATATGTTTTCGATATCGAACCAAACGATTGGCTCGTGCCAACGAATTTTCTAAAAATAAATCTGCTTGCTGTCAATTGTGTTTTTTATTTTATAAAGGTTAAAGAGTTAGGCGTTCTTATATATAACTGTCCCAAAATAATGGACGACTTGGAAAAAATATGGACAGTTTATTGGTCACTTGGCAATTCAAATGGTTTCGTTCCTAAAAATTGGCCTGAAGAATTGCAAACTAAGTATAATAGAAGTAATCCACTTATTACGAATATTAATGGTATCCAATCGCGTGTATACTTTTCAGTAAGTAGTCGTTGAAATGAATGAATGTATTGATTAGTATTTTTTTTAAACATTACAGTAAGCAGCTGATTGTAGGTTTACTTGAATGAAGATATTGATGTACAAGTAAATAAATTAACTTTTAACTGAGATCATTCAAAGGTATCGTAATTTGATTTAGTTTGTGCAATAATATTCTCTTCGTATATGAATAAAACTGAGTAGTGACCAATTTTCATATTAATGCTTCCCAAAAGATTTCACAGATAGCATCAAAATGAAAGTTATGTCTAACAAAACTGGGGTAATATACTAAATTGTCATCATATTAGGCCGACATCCATTGAATCATCAAGGATAACTGTTTAATAAGTAAACACTTTTAAACCTCTTAATATAAGTAATAGGGTGTATTCTTGATAATAATAGTAATATCAGATTTTTCTTATGAAATGTTTTTATTTAATAATTTATAAGTGTTTGTTTAGGTAAACTATTATAGTTGAAATTAAAATAATACTGTATTTTACTCAGCTTGAATTAAATTCGAATCAAAGTTCATTACTGTTTAATACAAAAACATTATACTGACTACCAGGAAATCGAATAATTTTTATTAAAATAGTAAATAAAGGCGGAAAAATATCCACAAAGTTTGTATTTTTATTAATAAGAAATCACTAAGTTTGTGTTATGTCAGATGTTCCATACTGTAAAGAAATAAATAAATTTCAAGGCAAACATTTATCAATAACGAAAGCCTTAAAGATAGTTTACGAATTAGATATTCCTAAAAAAAGCCCCCAAATGCTCTGGTACGGTCGAGAGTGGGAAGAGTCACCTCTCCCTCTCGAAATGCTCTCATATGGCCAGGCGTATATAGCCTCTGTCAGGGAAGTCCTACTCAATACCTTCTCGTGGCATTACTGTTGTTTATGAAATTGAGAGGACGAAAAGCCAGTGTCCGGTGCTTGAAGCGGGTTAGTGGACACGGTGAGTCCACCTAGGGGAGTTGGAAAACCCTGATTCCAAACCAACGGTGCATATGGGCTCCAGTATCCTGAGGGAACAAATGACGTATGAATCAATCGTTGGTCACTGGCTACCATGGGACTGCATCTCCTCACGATGCCTCACTTCCTTGTGGATCAGATCTTTAGGTCGAAGGTTCTGGGTGTGGCCCCCTTAGAAAACCACTTGTTTCGGTTTGTGCACCTGGGCAGTATCACAGCCCTCACACAAATCAACTGAGATTTGTGCGGCGCATATGTATATCTGGTGTCCCTTTGTACTAATATTTATGTGTTTAAATAGAATAAAATAAAATAAATTAGATTAAACAGGTTGTTTTGTTAGCTAGTGATTGTTCCTAAAGTATTAGATCATGTACCAGAATTATCTAGCTTAATCTATGGATTGTAAATATGTTTAAATTATGGCAATACTCGATAGATTTTACTGGAATTAAGGAGTATATATTTACCCATTCTTTTATCAATGACACTAAAGATTATAGTGATTCAAAGTAAGTTTAAGCACGAGTTATAAATCTTGTAATGAATTCCCCTTGCAGTGCATGTTTAAGTCAAAATAAATGTATTATATCAAAAAAAAGAATATAATCAATTTGATCTCATATAGTGTCACCAGTTACTGTTATAAATTCCATAGAATTTAATTAATACTTAATAAATTTTCTTTGCTTTAAAAAATATCAGAGTTCTCCTTCTTTGTTCAACCCACCTGGACGAAATGATGATATAGATGCTCTACTTTCCGTTATAAATTCTGCGGAAAAATTTATTTATATAGCTGTTATGAATTTCATGCCTCAAGTCATAAGTTATAATAAAAATATACCTTCACGGTAAGTTCATTCAGTGTATATCCTGATAAATTTTGATTGAACAACTAGACAGTTTGATTAACTTTCTGGATTATTTATTTTTTTTAAACACATAAACATTGGTACAAGGGGCTTTGAATACATATGACCCACACAATAACAGTGAAGTTATGAAGAGATACAAAATGTTAAGTGTGTATAATAAAACAAAGAACAAAAACAAACAGAAATTAGTGTATGGAAGTGAGATAATGAAAATAATAATAACAACAATGGGAGAAATAGTTCAGGTAGCTAAAATACAACCAGACAGAATTCTTTCTGTTAAAGTTACGTTCACCTTTATGAAACAAGGGAAATAAAGTTACAGCAGGATCGCCACTGACCTACTCTGAGTCATGTTTGATAACGTCTCTAGCCACTGTGTTGTACCATCTCTCAAACTCCAATCAGGGAATCGTAAAGGACCGACGGACCCAAATCGTGTACAGCTTTCTTTCACACCACGACACTGTGTCATACACTGATCACTTCTCTTTACCCAACCAGTTCCGAATTCGTCAAATAATGCAAGACATGGAATTCTCTAAGACAACATTCGTAGAACATGTCCAATCCACCAAATTCGGTATTCCAAGATGGCGACACCATTTAAATTATTGTCACTGCCTGAACATACGATGCCGAACCTCTGCATTACTAACGTGGTGTTGCCACTGGATGTCAGCAATCCTTCGGAGACAACGATGATCAAACACAGAGAGTCTTGTAACATCCTCAACTCGGAGAGGTCAGATTTCACAAGCATAGAGCGAAATTGCTCTCACCGAAGCGTTGTAGATCCGACCTTTTACAGCCAGATTAACATCACGAAGGCCCCAAAGATGGCCCAGATTGGCATAAGCCTCTCTTGCTTTCACGTGAATCGGTTTCAGCACTCATGTATTTATCCTGATACACGGACTTCTCGACTACTTCAATCTACTAACTACACAGGGTGAGTACAGGATTGGAATCCTGCCAGTTTTGCAAAAGTACTTTTGCACTTCGAAGGTGGAAAGTACAGACCGTACCTGCGGACACTAATTGCTAATAGCTATATTTTATTGTTTACATTTTTAAACTTGTATTTATTACATGTATGTGACTGGAGATTAAAGTTAGATCTATTTTTATACGTTGATAGTAGTAGTAAGTATGAAAAAAGCCAAGAGACTATACATTTTAGACCATTTTGTACTAATTTGTTTCTGTATTACATTCAAACTTCAGCACTTTCAACGAAGTCTATTGTAACAAAATATCACCTCAATAATCATTTTGGCTCACTGAAGAATGTATATTCAAGTTTCGGGAGAAATGGCTTACCGGTTTATATTACTTACTTACTTACGCCCGTTACCCCTCGTCGAGGAGCATAGGCCGCTCACCAGCATTCTCCATCCAACTCTGTCCTGAGCCTTCCTTTCCAGTTCTTTCCAGTTGCTGTTCATCCTTTTCATATCTGCTTCTATTTCCCGGCGTAATGTGTTCTTTGGCCTTCCTCTTTTCCGCTTCCCTTCCGGATTCCAAGTTAGGGATTGAGTCGTGATGCACATTGATGATTTCCTTAATGTATGTCCGATCCACTTCCAACGTCTTTTCCTAATTTCCTCTTCAGCTGGGAGCTGGTTTGTCCTCTCCCACAGAAGGCTGTTGCTGATAGTATCCGGCCAATGAATGTTGAGTATTTTGCGTAGACAGCTGTTGATAAATACTTGTACCTTCCTGATGATGGTCGTAGTAGTTCTCCACGTTTCAGCTCCGTACAGTAGGACTGTCTTGACGTTCGTATTAAAGATTCTGACTTTGAAATTGGTTGAGAGTTGTTTTGAGTTCCATATATTCTTCAATTGTAGAAATGCTGCCCTTGCTTTGCCAATCCTCGCCTTTACATCTGCATCCGATCCTCCTTGTTTATCAACGATGCTCCCCAGGTACGTGAATGTTTCCACCTCTTCCAGAGTTTCTCCATCAAGTGTGACTGGGTTGGTGTTCTCCGTGTTGTATTGGAGAATCTTGCATTTACCTTTGTGTGTGTGGAGGCCTATTGATGCAGAAACTACTGCTACATTTGTTGTCTTTGTTCGTGTGTATAAGATAGTGGGGCTAGGTCATCTGCAAAGTCTAAATCCTCTAATTGATTCTGAGAAGTCCATTGTATTCCGTATTTCCTTTCAGATGTCGAATTCTTCATAATCCAGTCAATCACTAGAAGGAAGAGGAATGGGGCGAGTAGACAGCCTTGTCTGACTCCGGTCCTTACTGGAAATGCATCTGTCAGCTGTCCTCCATGCACGACTTTACACTATAGTCCATCGTATGAGTTTTGGATAGTGTTGACGATGTTCAACGATGATCCGTAGTGTCGCAATCTGGTCTTTGCACGACCTATCCTTACGGAATCCAGCCTGATGATCCCGAAGGTCGGCGTCTACTGCGTCTTTCATCCGATTCAGCAGCACTCTGTTGAAAACTTTTCCTGGTACTGATAACAAACTGATACCTCTGTAGTTCTCACATTTGCTCAGATCTCCTTTCTTTGGTATCTTGATGAGATATCCTTTTTTCCAGTCCGTTGGCACTTGTTCCTCTTCCCAAATCTTCTTGAATAGAAGGTGAAGCATGTTTGCAGTTATTTCAATGTCTGACTTCAGTGCTTCTGCTGGTATATTGTCAGGTCCTGCCGCCTTCCCACTTTTGATTTGTTTGATGGCCATCTTGACTTCTTCGATCGTTGCTGGAGTGACATCTATAGGAAGGTCAGTGTGTGCTGCTTCGATGTTCGGTGGATTCGATGGGGCTGGTCTATTCAGCAGTTCCTCGAAGTATTCTGCCCATCTTTTCCTCTGTTCTGGATTCTCAGTGATTGTCTTTCCTTCTTTGTCCTTGATTGGTCTCTCTGGTTTGCTATATCTCCCTGCCAATTTCTTCGTTGTATCATATAGTTGTTTCATATTCCCTTCTCTTGCAGCTTTTTCCGCCGCCGTTGCTAGTTCTTCCATGTACTTCTGCTTGTCGGCTTTAATGCTTTTCTTCACTTCCCTGTTTGCTTCTGCGTAGTCTGCTTGTGCTTTGACTTTCTCTGCTCGTGTTCGGCTGTTGTTAATTGCTAGTTTCTTGTTCTTCCTTTCTTGAATTTTGTCCAGGGTTCCCATAGAGATCCATTCCTTGTGATGATGCTTCTTAGGACCAAGGACCTCCTGACACGTTGAAGTTAGTGCTTTTATCCCTTTCCAGTTGTCCTCCAAAGTAGTTTCTTGTTCTTTCAGTAGATCCTGTAGAGCTTGGAACCTGTTATTGAGAGTTATCTTGAATTCGTGGAGCTTGTCAATATCTCGAAGGAAGGCTGTATTGAACCTTTGTAGTGCTGTTTGTCCAGTTGTCCAGTGTTTCTTTAGCTTCAGTCTCATCTTGGCCACAACCAGGTGGTGATCTGAAGCTATGTCAGCTCCTCACCTGGTTCTCACTTCTTCCATTGACCTTCGGAACTTTTTGTTGATACAGATGTGATCTATCTGGTTCTCTGCGGTGTGGTCCGGTGAGATCCATGTAGCTTTGTGTATGTGCTTGTGTGGGAATATTGTGCCGCCTATAACCAATTTGTTGAAATCACATAGGTTTGCAAGTCTCTCCCCATTTTCATTTCTTTCTCCTAGTCCATGTCGTCCGATTATATCTTCATATCCTGTGTTGTCCACTCCAACTTTAGCATTTAGATCTCCCATCAGGATGGCAAGGTCCTTTCGTGAGCACTTTGCTATAATTGATTGCAGCCTTTCATAGAACTGATCTTTATCATCGTCGTTGCTATCATTGGTGGGTGCATAACATTGGATAACGTTCATTGTGATCCCTTGTTTCTTTGTTCTGAATGATGCTTTGATTATCCTGGGTTCATGAGATTCCCATCCCACAATTGCATTTCATGCTTCTTTGGACAGCATTAGAGCAACTCCCTGAGTGTGTGGAGCATTTTGCCCTTCGTGACCGGAGTACAGCAGCATCTCTCCTGTTGTTGTCCAGATTGTGTCCAATGGGTTTCGCTGATTCCGAGTACTGCCAAGTTGTATCTCCTCATTTCCATTGCTATTTGGCTGGTCTTTCCTGTCTCCCACATTGTCCGGACGTTCCATGTACCTATAGAGAGTGTTGCTGTGGTTGTTAGAAGGTGCATCGGTCTCGTGACTTCCGAAGAATTTCGGCTTTCATCATGAGACGTCATTATTCCTTCAACTCCCAGGGCAGAGTTTAAATGGTTTGAATTATTTTTTCTGGTTAGCGTTTTTTTAGCGAGTTAACTTTTCTACGGGATGGGGTCGCTAACCCCATGCCCAACCCTCCTCCTTTACCCGGGCTTGGGACCGGCAGTAACTCTAGAAGAGCTACAGGCGGAGTTACCGGATTATATATATATATATATCACTTTTACTTATATCATAGATTTTGGCCAGTTATTGATAACGCGTTGCGTAAAGCTGCAATTGATCGTTCTGTTGAAGTACGCTTACTAATCAGCAAATGGAATCATACTTCGTCATCTACTGAGAATTTTTTGAATTCCCTACGAGCAATTTATGGAGTTCAATCAGCTCAAGTTCGTGTTGTAAGTCAATGAGAATTAATTTTCATTTTCCTCATTGACCATTATTCAAATTGTGTCTTCAACTGTAATAAAAAACACATTCATTATGCATCAGTTTTTGGTTAGATTAGAAATCACTGGTCACAGAATATGATGCTCTGAGACGACGCTAAATACTCTTGACAAAAGTGGAAGATTACTTTACTGAAACTGTAAAACTTTGAGAAGGGCGTTTAAACCGATAACTTTAAATACCTTGACTGATTAAACTAGAAAACAATACACTTGTTTACAGTGATTAACTGAAATTATCTACAGTTCTAAAGTAATCGAACACATCATAACGCAAGTGTTTTATCCGAAGAAGATTAAATTATGGGTAAATCCCGGGATATATATATATATCATGAGCTTTCAATTGACCTATTGGTTATTATTATACGATTTACTATTCTCAAGTTATCCTCAATCTATTAGTTGCAGTCTCTCGCCCTCACAGTCACTTTTGCCTAGATCTTCTACAATTGTTGTGCCCTTATTTTGTGGTGTTATGCGGTCTGGTCTGCTTGTATATAAACTACGTATGTCTGAAATATATTATTCTTACAGTGAAGGTTGAGACTGCATTCTGGACTCAACGGACAGAGGAGCAAGGCTAGGCGAGAAGTACCAATAAGGATCCAGTGTCGACTCAAAGCTGCTAATGTTGGTTGACGTTTAGCACACGAACAAGGTCCTATAAGTCGGCATTCTGATTGGCGACTTTGTAACGTTATAATTGACAGGGGCTAAAGTCATAAGAGCAATGAAAAACAAAGCTGTTGTAATATTATACCAGAACAATCACATAGTCACTTATTTCATTTAGTCGGTATGTACACCAAAAAGTTAGTATTTATGAACGTTAAATATTTGTGTGAAGATATACAATTTGGGTAAGGTTGACTCATTTATTAAATATGTGTCTGGTATTTCTTAGTCTTGACATGTACAGGCTGGCCTTGTGAAGTCACCGTATATTAAAATACTACTTTTAAAGAGATAGAGTCACTAGTGTGTTTAACTATAACTGTCTGTAGCATTATGGGTTTAGTCTTGGCCGGATACTTAGAGAGTAGCCCCTTCCTACAATTAGTCCATGTACTCTCCTATATTTCCAGATATTGAGCTTACCATATTATAAATTGGGTGAAATCATAAAACTACTGACTCTTCATTTCTGGATAAGCCGCCTAACATTTGAACTTGTTACTTGTCGATTGGTTGTGGTCCTGAATGGCATCAAGTTAAAATAAAGTGATTTGTTTATGTTTCTACATTTCCATTGTTTGGTGTTCTTTACGTGACCTGACGTTGTGTAGGTTCAATCCATTGCGGGATTGTGGATACTGACTGAAACAGATTCCTGATTTTTAGAAGTACTTTACGTGATGTTAATGAGTGATAAAAACTGACATTAAAGTATTCACTAAATTATTTTTAAAATAGATTGTTGTATTTTTGCGTTTTTTTAACAGCGTTACTTTATTGTACCTTCATATACTGATGCACAAAAAAGAATACCATATGCTCGGGTGAATCATAATAAATACATGGTAACCGATAAAACAGCTTACATAGGTGAGCATTTTACAGTATGGAAAAATAATAATTATTAGTGGGTCAAATCGATCAAGTTTGTACAAGAATGTGTTTATATATTAATTCTTGTCATGTTTCGTTACTGGTGTTACATGTATATATATATTATTGAACTGTTATTAAATATTCAAGCGGATTTCAAATTGGTTCACCATTACAATAGTTCTGATCACAGTATCAATTGATTCTGGTTCGCTTCTCTGAGAAAGCATGCGTTTTTTCATATAACAGATATACCTGGCTGAGGTGTGCAGTTATTTAATAAATAAGTAAATTCAGCTTTGTCATGATTGCCTTCAGTGTTGAGACACAATTATTAAGATTCTACTTAAGGAACTCCATCTGTAGCTCTTCTAGGGTTACTACTGGTCCCAATCCCGGGTAAAGGAGGAGGGTTGGTCATCAAGTCAGCAACCCTATCCCGTGCAAAACGACCTTGTTAGAGAAACACTAACCACCCCTCCGATTTCAAGGATATTTTTTCAGGAGAATTATGACGTCTCATGGTGAAAACCGAGATTCTTCGGAATCTGTGAGGCTGATGCCTTTTCTAACAACGAGAGCAACAATTAATATTAATGTTCGGAGACTGGTAGGACCAATCAAATAGCTGCGGAAATAAAGGGATACAACTTGGTGTTTCTCGGAATCCTTAAAACTCGTTGGACCCAAGCTGGACAGAAAAAAATAGATTCAAGAGAGATGTTGCTGTACTCTGGTCAAGAAGAGGAAAATGCTCCTCGTACTCAGGGAGTTGCTCTGATGCTATCCGAAGAAGCACGTAAAGTACTTGTAGGATATGATTGATCGTTGAGCGTGGACAAAAGCCACAGTCTACGGACTACTAAATATATGTTTTCCCTTCCTGTCATCCATTTCTACTCCTGACTCACTGAGTGTAACTGCTGTTAACTGTATTGAATTAAATATTATCTATTGTTAATCTGGTTTTCTATTCTGGATCGTGAATCATAGTTCTGATATTACGTGATTAGTCTTATTAAGGTATTACCGTATTGTACAAGTCGGAGAGAAAAAATATTTCAAAAATCCCTTATGCCTATAATATAAAAAAAAGTTAAAATCGAGGTTAATTAATTAAAACTATACATCAGTATAATATTTACAGTTATAAACGTGATTTGAATATGGACTGGTTTTTATAGTGATCCAGCAGTAGTTGAAAATGTTTGATGAACAAAGACACAGAAACCACTAACCAGTATACGATTGTGTATGCTGAATTTTTACCGATCATATGCGCTATATTCACAAGGTGAGACAATACTTCATTTGTAATAGGTTATTTTTGTTGTGACGAATGTGATATCGAAGAAGGTGTAACTTTTGTGGACTGATTTACACCTCAATATTGCTTTCATTTGTATTTCATCATTACTAAGTAGTAGGACAATCATGTTTCTATATTCTGTTTATTGTAAGCTTCCTTTAGACCCATTAGCTATTGTCTTATTATTCTTAATTTACTGCTGATCAGTTATTAATAGATAGCCTATTTTCATAGCCACTTTTGACTGATTTCGTATACTATCCACTCACACAAGGTGAAATTTTGGATAAAATAATAAATCTAATTTGAATTCTTATAATAAAGGTAACAGTGAAACTCAAATAACTTCTGATTTTATTGTTATCAAATCGTGGCTTCTATTCTTTAACCCTAACGATAAATTTTAAGTGTATGAACATAAATATCAAAACAATAGTGATTGGTTTAAGTGTGATAGAAATATGTGCTAAATGTCACTAGACTAGTAACGTTTTAGCCAAAATGTATAAAGATATGGCATTCTTAGGAAACAGTTACCGTTGTCTACAGGCATGTTCGAACATGAATCTATACAAGTGATAACATGATTATCAGAACACATTATTATTAAAATGGCAATAAAAAACAAATAATTGGCTCAGCGCACTCAGGGAGTCGCTCTGATGCTGTCCAAAGAAGCGCGAAAAGCACTTATGGGATGGGAATGGATCCAGAATCATCAAAGCATCCTTCAAAACAAAGAGGAAGGGAATCAATGAACGTTATCCAATGTTATGCACCCACCAATGATAGCAACGACGACGATAAAGATCAGTTTGACAAGAAGCTGCAAGCGACCATAGAGAAGTGGTCAGGGAAGGGCCTGATATTCCTGATGAAAGACGGAATGGATAACATGGAGGATGAAAATATTATGGGACGATATCGACTAGGAGAAATGGATGAAAATGGTGAGAGAATTGCAAACTTATATGGATTCAACAAAATGACTGTAAGTAGCAATATATTGCCCCACAATGAATACACAAAGCTACATGGATCTCACTGAATCACACTATACAGAACCAGGCCCCCAAATGCCTTGGTACGGCCGAGAGTGGGGAGAGTCACCTCTCCCTCTCGAAATGCTCTCATATGGCCAGGCGTATATAGCCTCTGTCAGGGAAGTCCTACTCACTGCCTTCTCGTGGCGGGGGTGTTGTTTACGAAAGTGAGAGGACGAAAAGCGAATGTCCGGCGCTTTAACCGGGTTGGTGGACATGGAGGGTCCACCTAGGGGAGTTGGAAAACCCTGATTCCAAACCAATGGTGCACATGGGCTCCAGTATCCTGAGGGGACAAATGGCGTACGAATCAACCGTTGATCACCGGCTACCATGGGACTGCATCTCCTCACGATGCTTCACTGCCTTGTGGATCAGACATTCAGGTCAAAGGCTCCGGGTGTGGCCCCCTAAGAAAACCACTTGTTTCAGTTTGGGCACCTGGGCAGTATCACAGCCATCACACAAATCAAATGAGATTTGTGAGGCGCATATATATCTGGTGCTTCCTTGTACCAATATTTATGTGTTTAAGTAAATAATAAATATAAATAAATTTCTTTTACATATTAACACCACTAAATTAACTACTTCTATGAATTCGGTGTTCATCTTGTACTAACGAGGTAAGTAAATAAATACAGAACCAGATAGATCATGGCTGTATTAATAAAAAAATCAGGTCAGTGGAAAACATGAGAACTAAGAGAGAAGCTGACATAGCTTCAGACCAAGATGAAACTGAAGCTAAAGAAGCAATGGACAACTGGGGAAACAGCGTTGCAAAAGTTCAATACAGTCTCCCTTCGACATACTGGTTTACTCAACGAATTCAAGATGATTCTCAACAACAGGTTCCAAGTCTTATGAGATCTACTCACAGAACAAGTAACTACTATGGAGGACAACTGGAAAGAGATCAAAAGAGCACTAACTTCAAAGTCTCATGATGTGCTTGGTCGCAAGAAGCATCATCATAAAGAATGGATCACTACTGCTTAACTGGATCGGATTCACGAAAAGAAGAACAAGAAGACAGCAGTTATCAAAAGTCGAACAAGAACAGAAGAATTCAAGGCACAAGCCGAATAAACTGAAGCAAAAAAAGGAGTGAAAAGGAGCGTTCAGAACTTTATGCATCTATCGAGAGATCACTGTCTTGTTAACATAATTAATCATCACATAGTGTGATTCGAGTACTTAAGTAGTTATGTGCAAAGCAAGATGAAAGCTTACTCGTATGGTTTACACCTAATAAATTCTATTCTAAATGAACACATTTTACGAATACCAGTTGTTGATCAAGCTCATTAACAGTTCTTAATGATACTTATTTGTCTATAAAACTACACATAAACACCTGTTGCAATCGATAACAAACAAATTACTACTTTTTAAAATCATATTTTCCTATTTAGGTACTTCTAATTGGTCCGGTGATTACTTCCTTTATACTGGTGGTGTCGCTTTCGTCTATGAAGAAGGGAACCAAACTTCAAATAACTTAAATCAAGAAAATACAGATCATAGTGAATTTTGTTTACCGAAACCAATATCTCTCAGAAAACAATTGGAAGATGTTTTCCGTCGAGATTGGAACTCAGAGTTTACCGATGAACTTTAAATAATTTTCTCATATAATTCACTCTTATCAATGTAATAAATTATTATTATTTATAAACACTAAACTGATAAATGTAAAGTCAATGTTTTTTTTTAGGATAAAATAATCATTTAAAAGTTTATCGTCTAATTCCTATTTATTTAGCAGTAAATACACATGATCATTGTTTTTTTTTGATATCATTGAAGATTTGTAAATAGCTTAAAAATGCATTCATCTGATCTATAGTTTATTTTAAGCAAACCACTAACATTCTCACAATAATAATATTTCTTATCATATCCAAACATGTTCGTTCGTAGTTGGATCCTAACAATTATTTGCAATTTAAATGAGACAAACTTACTCGTCTAGCTTCATAAGGTCTACTTCACTGTGGATATTTTTTAAAATTTAAATTCAAGGTATCGAACCTTTCAAATGAACTTGTTCTATTCCTTCGACATTTGACCAGTTAAACTTGGGACGGTGCTAAGTTTAGTATAACTTGAGTACTACTTGTTTGGATGGTATTCTCACAAAAATTTATATGACTGTGGCTTAATAATTTGATGTGATAAGTTTCAACCTTGCTTAATCGAATTTGACCTATACACTAACCCTCACATAAACAGTACAGTTTAGTGCCGATTTTAAACTTAATTGATGTTCATAAACTAAAACTTCATTTACAATTTAAGTGATTGGTGATATACTGCATCTTAAGTCACATGACAACAGAAGTCATAAAAGAACACCTCGCTTTTTCAAACTTATGTTTGAGTTAGTGGGGTTCGAATCAATGATTTTAATGGTGAGTGGAATCCAATAGCTGAAATTGCCGCAATACATTTCCACGAAACAAATTCTAACTCGATTATTTTAGGAACACACTACTTATTTTCAACCATTTTGTAAGTGTTGTATGTTTTGTAGAATTGTAATTTTTCACCATACTTTAGTAAGAACAACCAGAGTAAAAGTAGTTTAAAGATAACTTTTTAAAATAATCTTTGTAGTCGCTCAGGTATCTTTTCAAAAATCTTTTGAAAAAGTTGTAATACCTATAAATGCTATGTAATTTGTATTTATTCAACATTAGGTGTGGATAGTGTTATGTCTTGTGGCCTGCGTGCCCTGTTTATATATGACGTGACGAAGCCGTCAATTAGAGAGCAGTGATTTGTTGATCGGACCAATAACACACGAAACCATTACGAGCAGTCTAGAGCACTTGTCGGTCCTGCTATCTGCCTAACCCAGCCATTTAAGTCCAGAACGCCAATAACAGCCTCCTCATTATGAATCATTATATTTCAAACATACTGAGTTTATATACCAATCAAACAGACTACATCGTATCATAAAATAGAAAATAACATTTGTACAAGATTCAGCTAAATGTGGCTGTGAATAAGGGGAACAGTAATTAATAGACTGGGTATAACTCAGGAATGGTAAATCGTATAGTAATAGTCTATGAGTCAAAGCAAAGCTTATAATGAAATGAATATGAATAGTTTAGTTACTTAACAATTATACAATAGGAAATATGCGTATCATAGTGGTCCATAAATAGTTCTCAAAAGTTACCATTCATAATTCTCTTCGGGATATAACAGATACTTTGCGAGATTTAATTATATTCACAAATGAATGTACACTAATTAGTAAATACCTAAATTAATTTCATGTTAGGTACAAATATCATTTGGATTTTTCCAATTAAATGAATCTTTATTTCCAACTTATTATTATTAACATTAAAAATCTGAACAAAATAATGAACTTCCGATATTCTTTATTTTTAATCTTCATTTGTTTTAATTAATTTATAAGCGTAGAATAGACAATACTGTCGAAGTAATAATAGTTTTTTTTTTAAATAAACAAAGTATTGAGAACATACTTGAGTTAATTGACATGGCTTATCGGTTAGATCATTTAACTTTTAACCACTAGTTTCACGTTAAGATTCGACACTTTAAAAAACTAGGTGGAACCATTGGTTTTAATAAAAGCATTGTAATCCTAAATATATAAATTCATAATGAGTAAATTAGTCACAAAAGTATTTTTTTATTCAATTTAATGTGGCGATTTTGTGTGAGCATGAGTTCGTTTCGGTTTTTCTATAGTTTACTTAACAAACATATCAAAAAAGTACTTTCCACTGTTTTGGAAAATAGTTGTATTTATGGGTTATTATTAATTAGTGAATTACTATATCTCAAAGTGACTAGATATGTAAACGTGAAGAAATTGGTATCAGGTTAGCAATATAAAGGTACAGTGCTCGACCTTGAACCTGAAAGTTTGACCCTGTTCGAGATTGTGAACGCGGAATGCTAAGTTTCAGACTAGAATGGGACAGATATTCTGTTCTTCCTGATTTCCAATATTTCCCTAGCTAATTTCGATCCATGGTGAAAGCTAGCTTTATACATGTAGCAGCTTTTATTTCATTATACACCTACGCCGTCTATCTTAACTTTTGGACAGATGAATTATTCTGATCTTTCTAGTCATTCTATCCGTTATGTGACGCCTCGAGCATGTGTGTATGATAAAGTTATGTGTCTTATATATATATATATATATATATATATATATATATATATATATATATATATATATATATATATATATATATATATATATATATATATATATCCGTATCCCTTAATTGTCTATCTTTGTTAATGGATGTCTGAAATATATGTATTCAAAACTACTCTCTTATTTGACCTTCGATATTCTGTTGTTCTAAGCATGTTAAGTCGATCGAACGAAGTCAACTAGGATACACAAATGCCCTTAGATTCATTCTCGTCTGATCATAAAGGAATCAGGCAATGGGGCTATACACCTACCTTATGTTAATTCACTCTATGTTTTGTTAGCTTCTGTCACACCGTACAGCTCGAAACACTTGTCTTTCAACTATTAGGTACCAGGACCTTACCTCGATCCTCCTACTTTCATGAGTGGATACTATATTTAAGCAGCACGCCAACAATGTAGCTATGGTGTTTGTTTATTACTTCAACATCCCATTCTAATAGACCATAATTCGTTAAAGTTACTACAGTCATATGGAAAATTTGACCAAAATGCATGCAAAAAATTGTCTACGGGAGAAATTGTTTGTTATCTAAACATGTATGTAGTGTTTATTTACAGAGATAAGTTAATGATTTACACATCTAATAAATAATCCCTCTTTGCTCACTACACCAGTCATGATTCATGGATGCCCTAAATTTCTAGATTAATCTAAAATACCATCCAGTGGTAGTCAAATTCATCGTATCTACTGTCACTAGTGCCTTTATGGTTTTTTACATGAGACCACTAACATATATTATATTTAATATATCAACAACACATCATTTATGTAAGTTTTGTCCTTTTGAAACAATTATTATTACTGAGAAAAGCATTTAAATCAATCTACTTGTTACTAAAACTGAGAAACAAGATTATGTAACAAATAAAAATCTAACACAATTCATCATTTGTTAAAGGCATTATTTGAGTACGATCTATTACGTTAAATACATAAGGATTCTTGACGAGGTTGGAGTTTAATTAGCTCTTCATATATTATAAAGGATTGTTCAAGATTTCAGTAATAGTAAAATCCTTGCCTGAATCTATGATAAACTTTAACAAATCTATAAAAGAGATAAATTTTGTGAAATTAATTACAAATTGAAAAATAGTTATATATAAGAATAAACTTCATTAACAGTTCCTACTTGAATAACTACCAAAAACCTATCGACAACTAAAATCAATAGATTCAGGTTGTATGACACAGATACATTACTTCGAAGATGTTTTTCACCATAGAACAACATCGGGTGAATAACCACTAAAAAATGGAAGCAGCATCTTTTCTCGTAAAGGTTTAATGTGTCGAATTCACACCGAAGTATATAGTTTTGAAACTAAGTAAGTCGGTATCATAAACAGATGACTGCATTTCACTATAGAATTGCTAAATAAAGTAAGTAGATTTTGACTCAATAGTTGAGTGACGTCATCGCCATAGAGAAACTTGATTACGCCCGTACATTGAGTAGATGGCTACACTACTGAATTGGATAAAACAGATATCCAGTAACTCTTAACTTTAAAGTAGTTGTTACCGTTCTGTAATTAACTCTATCTTCAGATCAATTAATTCTGCATATATTGCATAGCTGTGTATCATAATTTTGAATTTCTCAATTTTGTAAGATACCAAAGATGCATGCAACTGAGGTGTAACGTAGAAAAGGTTGGAGTCCTATGATCACTGAGGTGTAATAAATGGCAAAAACTTGTCAACATTACTTTCAGTATACACTAGTTTCAAAAACTCAAATTAATTAGTCTTTTCATTACGTGAATAGGTAATAAAGTTATTTTCAGACCCAGTAATTTCTTTCACAATGCCATCAATTATTTCATCGCTGAAGTCCAATTCAAAATAACGTAAAATATTGCGTAAATCATCTTTTGACAGTGCTCCATCACCTAAAATAACGGAGAAATAACTATTTAATAATATACGTTGTACACTAATAAACAAGGACAATGTTTTACACAAATGTTTGACGTAAGGCCTACAAATGCTACCATTCATTATACAATGGTCGGTAGTCATCTATTCATTGTGTTGTATGTGTACCGACGTAGAGAAAACTATTTCAATTGCATCGTTTTTCAACTGTGTAATCGACGTTCATTACCCCTCGTATCAGTGAGAAGTTTGATTATCATTAAATGGGATAATTATTTGTTTAACAAGTCCCAAGTTAAACTCTTACCGTGAAATACATTGTTACCTACCATGATATGCAGTTCATGCATTTATTTTAAGTAATAAAATAACAACCGTATAAATCAATGAAAATTTACAAAACAATATTTTACTTTAATTCTCATTAAAATGCTTTCTTAGATCATAACATCGATCTTATTCTTGTGATTGTAAAAGAGATCATAGGATTAATCACCTTTAAGATGTAACATAATTGATTATGTTCTACTTTTACACCGATGAATGAAATGTTATTCTAAGCTGAAATGTACAATATTTAGAAGGTTGTTTTGAGATTAAATTAATCAATCATAAATATTTTCTACTAAGATTGTTCACATTAGCATTGATTCGGAGATTGCTGTTGTAGGGGTGAGGACTAAAGTTGAATTAATGCATATATTGTGCCCGGTTTCGTACTAGCAACATAGTTATCGCGATAAAGTATACAATAACACACTATCATGAGTATTAGACAACTTTAGTTTAGGATGAACTGAATACTGGTCCAGATGTTGTTGTTGTATACAAACTCTCAGTAATCCAGATAGATTATTTGTATTTAGACTAACGTAAAACTTTTCAGCCGTTATTTACATAAGGTTTTCAAATGACTGGTTGTTATATTATCAGCTCTTTGATATCAGATATATCACTATTCTACGTGGTATGTATATACCAGTTTTATCTTACATTAAGAAGAAATAATTACTGTGTTTCGATTGTGTAACCACGCTTAGTTAACAAACTATCAAGTTATAAACCCTGGTAAAGAAATATTAAGTTGTTTATCGGCGATGAACAAATTTCATAGTATTTTCTGTTAATTTCGAAACTCAAATGAAAGTCTGTTTTTACTAAAACAATGACTGAAGTAGTATTTTAATAGCTCCGTGTGAATGATATCATTCATATTTACAATTCATGGCAGTTCTTGTTACTTAAATATACCTGAAGTTTGTGCTAATGATGTTCAAAAGAACAGTGAAACTTTCACGAAACCGTCAAGCTTGTAGAACGAAACTCCAACGAAACCATCTGCTTGAGCTACAAACCTTAACCACCATCTCAATACTTTGAAACCGTTGCAAATAAAATGTATTTACCTACCAATAAAAGTCATAACTATTTAGTAAAGTAACATGACTTGGTACTTTTTCAGAGAAAATGTAAATGTTTTTTTATGAAATCAAAATGAATTATTCATGAATTTGTTTTGAGGATGGGTAAATGTTTAAACAACGGTGAATCGACCATCATCTATTCACATAATTGCTTATGAACATCATTTTTCCTTTTATAAGAAAAAAGCGAGACTCAGCACAAACGAAATTAAGGTTATTTCTCGAAATATCTGAAAGCATGATCAGATATCCATACTCACTTTCTTTGAGTGTGCATCCACTGGTATTGAACACAGTTCCGTAAGAAGTCTCTGTGAGAACTTGTTGAAGAATAATGCAATATTGTCAATATGATTGGTAGAAGTAAAATTTCACTCATTTCGGGCTTATCAGTCAGTTAGGTTTGTATCCATTTATGGATAAGCTGACTTCTGGGGAATTAACATCTGACTGATGATTATTAGTCATCCAAATAATAGGGCCCTAACTTGATTCACTTTACTCGTGAATTATTATTTAGGTTTTTAATTTGAGTACAAGTTTCAAGACTGAGTGGAAACAAAAACATTGGAGAATGAGTGTTCAACTGGTAAATTACAAACAACTGTGATCTATAGAGTGAATCTCTACAGACAATTTTGATTAAAACACATTCAATATCGATAAAGCTTTACAGAACTTTATATTGTCAGATAAATCTACGCCGAGAAATAGAGACAGACATAAGAATAATGAACAAAAAATGGATAGAACTAGAAAAGAAGGCCCAGGACAGAGTGGGTTGGAAAAAGCTGGTCGGCGACCTATGCTCCATTGGGAGTAACAGGCGTAAGTAAGTAAGTAAAGTAACAGCTGTTAAAATACAACAATTGGGAAGTACGCGTTGCGATGAGATATTTTTGTGTACTTTGGATAGTATTAGGAAACCTTTTAGGTATAGTACATTGGTAATAATTAGAAGACGAGTATCATATAACTTATACAAGTACATTCTATTACATTGATACGCTAATTATAGCTAGGCGATACACATCAATAATTTTACCGAAAGGTTTCTGAAAATTCGTGGTATTCGGGATATATTCTTGTATGTTCTACTTAGTTACATTCATTGAACTGAATGAAACTCATGAATAAATCTTTTGAACTTATAAAGAGAAGCTGTTAGTTATGTTTAATTTATTGTTTGCGTTGGCTTCTTCCATACATCTCAGCAAATAACCTGACCTTACATCTGTTATCAAATCGATCATCAGATTAGATCTGTCACAGTAAGAATGGTGGCTATCAATGAATTTCAAAACCACTGAAAACCAAGAAGGAATAAGAAGTTGGTTGCCTCATTACAGGTGCTCCTTAGGAATCTTCATCTTGGATTTCAACAGGAGTAAAATACAAAACTTTTGGGTTTCCCTAGCAAGAACTATACATTTAGACCATCGAGTTGAAATCCGATGAATTACATTTCTAAACCTAACCGACTCACAACCGCCATTCAATGTTGTCGGTGAGAGATTTCCACATCCCCAACATGGTTAAATCAACAAATTAAGGCTTAAAACTGAAAATTAATGCTTTTTAGTCTTTATTTCCGTATAATTGAAGCTAAAATGAAACAACATCCTAGCTCTCCTTAGCTTTTAAGGGTTTTTCAGCTGATATCAGACCTTAATGATAGCCATCCTCCGGTTAGTTCTTAAGTTTTCATAATCAGAATCGTAGAAACCCATGTTAATATGTATTTAATCATCCAAGAGGTGATGCATTTGTATAGATGAAGACGACCGCTTTAGTTGACGTTATATTGTACAAAACCTAATATATTATGTATTTAATCAAAGATGGATAGTGGCTAGCAGTGGAATCCAGCACGCACGTTTCATCCTATTTGGGACTCGTCAGCTCGATGTACCTACATCTCAGAGTTGATGTTCATTCTGGGACTCGAAATAAGGCTATATCGAGGCAATACGCACAGTATGCACATATGCCAATTAGAGACTGACCAGTTGCAGTCCTAATAATCAAGGGGAAGATTCAAACAAGTAATACTAAGTGAACTTATTATGTATTTAATGTCCAGAATTTTTATCAGTTTTCATTTTTATGGTAATAAGTATAGACACTCACTTAGTATTGTTTGTTTGGATCTTCCCATCGATGTGTTTAGGACTGCAACTGGTCAGTCTCTAATTGGCATATGTGCATACTGTGCGTATTGCCTCGATATACCTTAATTCACAAGCATGGTAAGCAAGAGATGGATAGTGGTTAGCAGTTGCAGTCCTAAACACATCGATGGGAAGATCCAAACAAACAATACTAAGTGAATTCAAACTTCACCCCATCGCACAAGCAAGTGGCTATCTGGACTCAGTGGCCGAGTGGATAACGCGATGGCGTTTGAAGCGAGGGTACTGGGTTCGAGTCCCAGAGTGAACATCAACTCTGAGATGCAGGTACGTCCAGCTGACGAGTCCCAAATAGGACGAAACGCGCGTCCTGGATTCCACTGCTAGCCAAGTATAGACACTGTTTTAAATTAAATATATTTTACCCACCTACTAAACCACATCGTTTCCAATGCACACAAATCCACTGTCATATGGCCTTGTCAACTTTATCTGAAGTATCTATATGTTATGAGTCATTCATATTTTTAAGTCACATGTCCTTGTGCTTATGACCCTTCTTATGATTGGTTAGCTATCTTAATCCGTAACATAAATGTTAACATTAACTTATCAATAAACTAGATGAGAGATGTAGTCAACTATTATATGATGGAAAATTGTCAAAATGGGGGAGTAGAATGACTAATCATAACAATTATTTGGAAACATAACACTCATGGTTGTCATGACATTCACCTTAGCAATTTCTTGAGAGAAATGAAAGACTTTAGCAGTTTCCGTTGAAAATCATTCGCTTAAAATGATCGTGAAATCTTGACAGGTAGACCGTTCATCTGGGTGAATTTAGAACAGCCGACGTGATAGAATTATTCTCCAAACTTATGACATGGCGAATAATTGTAGTCCTACGAAAACATTACATATTATACAGAATGTTCTGTACATTGGAATAGTATAGAGGAAATCTATTTACTTTTGATAAGCATTTCTTAAGAGCTGATAATTCACTAATATGGTATTAATTTAGAAAGAAATTCTATCAATTCAAATGACTATTATCTTTGAAGTGTTTGATTGTGAATGAATAAAGCCGTCAATTATATTCTTTGTTTTAACTCAAATGGTTTTTGTTTACAATGCGCAGCCACTTTTTTTCCACTGGACTTTGAAGTATATATAATCCATATACCTGATTAGTGAACTCTATACTCATATGAAGACAATGAATAAAATTACGATAAGGAAACCTGATATTTAAATATACCTAAACTACTACTAATCTAGAGTTTGATAAACTGATTTAAGCAATAAATCTATTCACCAGATTCCATTGTACGCTTATTTGAGAAAGTACTTTATTTTTAACTAGTTAGATTAAATGCCGGCTCAGCAGTCCATCGGTTAAGTGATCTGGCGCAAGACTGGTAGGTCCTGGGTTCGAATCTCGCGAGGCGGGATCGTGAATGCGCGCTGCTGAGGAGTCTCACAATAGGACGAAACGGCCGTCCAGTGTCTCCAGGTTTTCCATGGCGGTCTAGCTTCAATTGACTCACGACCTCAACTATATAAAATTACTAAAATCTCCACAAAACCCCCTTCTGATTAGATACAAATGTTAACTTTAGAACTTAATTCTAGTAATTGTCTTACAACAGATTTTCTCTAAAAGCTTTATCTTTTTCAATATACAATGCATTTTGGCAAACTAACTTTTCATAGATTTTTTTAAGATAACATTAGTCATATGATAAACAAAATATTTTAAGCATCAATTCATATAATGTTCTTATGTACACCCATATAAGTATTGAAAAGAAAAGGGCTGTTTTCTTGTTTGTAAGTCTAGTAATTGTTGAAGTTAAATAATTTGTTTTTTATATTACAAATAAACCAGTGAAAGAGACTAGCGTTATCCTTGTAGTGGCTAATCCTATGTCGAGCGCATATATCTTATTCTAGCTTCTGGACAAACCAACTTACCCTCAAGCTAAATTTTGACTTTTTTAATTATTCGCTTGTCAACTTCGATTGTTTTCATGTAAGCCTATGTGTGTGCATTTACTATCTTACTCATCACATGTCTGTAACTATTTTTTTTGTTTTGAAGGAAGCTTTGATGATTCTTGGTTCATGAGGTTCCCATCCTATAAGTGCATTTTGTGGTTGTTTGGACAGCATCAATGCAACTCCTTGTGTATGTGGGGCATTTTCTTCTTCATGAACGGAGTATAACAGAAGCTCCCCTAAAGATAGTCGTTGTTGTCCAACCTGCGTCCAACGTGTTTCACTGATCCCAAGCACCTCCAGGTTGTATTTCCTCATTTCTGCATCGATTTGGAGGACTCTCCCGGTCTCCCACATTGTCCGGACGTTCCATGTACCTATGAAAATTGTTGTTCTGGTTGTTAGAAGAGGTATCGGCCTCGTGACTTCCGAAGAATCTCAGCTTTCATCATGAGATGTCATAATTTTCGCTTCAACTCGGAGGGATGAGTTTAAATGGTTTGGATTTTTTTTCTGGTTAGCGTTGTTTAGCGAGTTGGTTTTCTACGGGATGAGGTCGCTAACCCCATGCCCAACCCTCCCCCTTTAACCGGGCTTGGGACCGGCAGTAGCCCCCGGAGGGGTTACAGGTGGAGTTCTCTTTTGAATACAAACCAAATAAATGCGTCTTCAGTTTATTCGAAATGTATTGAACTAGGTTACTAAAGAGTTATAATAAAACTCATCTTCTCACTGTATTATCTAAATTTATCAAAGGAACTAAGTGTTTTTAACAACTTTAAGTTGAAACTACATTGGAAGCTGGAGGAACTACTACTAACATGTTCTGTTAAAAGGCGGATTAGTATTTTTATTTAAATTCAGTATTTTCTTCAATATTATAACGGATGTAACTGATATAATAATGTGGTTATCAGTTGAACTTGACTTCTGAATAATTAAGAATACACTGTGTGAAAGACCCACATTTAATTGACATCAGACTATCTGACTCATAGAGGTAGTTGATCGGAGTACCAAACGGTTGAAAACAATATAAAGTCTACAATTTCGTTTAGTTTACTGTTGGGATGAACCTGCATTTTTCTCGCAAGCGACATGACAAGCTCAGGAGTCATCAAGGAGCATTTCAACCAATCAGCGATTAATTAGAAGTTATGTGAAATTATGTTACTAAAATAAGGTCACATGTGGAGATCCTGATTGGCTGATTGATACACTGCTAATATGTTTAGCAGTATTCTAGAACTTTCAGTAAAACTCAAGGACTGTCAAATTACTATAAAATCCCTATATTTTCTGTACCTTGTAGTAAAGTGTTTCTCTCATACTCGAGTCTTCTCTCTGATCTTCAAGTCGGTGTATAGTTCTAGCTCGGGGGTACGGAACTAGCTTAGGATCTGAATATAGCGTTCAACTTACAAGACGTTTCATTTACAGACTTCATACATGTACAAATCCACAATCCGATCAATGATACTTGAAAAACAATTATCTGATCAAATAAAAGAATGATTCAGCCAATTGGAACAAAATTGACTGATAAGAATTATTTAGAAGAAAATGTCAGGATTGAATAACTTTCTTATCTATCTTAACAGGTTCTACCCTGTTAAGTAGTCACCTATTAATCAGTACACTGAAATATTTTTTGGGTATTTCAAGGTTTCAAACTCGACGTATAATACAGAAGTGATCAGGTACAGTATCCCTTGATTTGAATCAATGCCATGTTTATAACCAAGTTCATATATTTTGAACTAAAAATGTCGAAAATTAGTGCTCTATTTGTAGATTTAATTTTATTTGAATTATAAGCAATCTTTCATCATGATAACTGTCAGAAAAGTCCAAAAGTTTGTCCAGCGTAATTCATTTTTTTATTTTAGCATTATAACACCTACATTTATTCTCAGGTCACCTACTACACTATCACCATACTTATGAGGGAGATGAACATTTCTGTCTGAATCAACAAACGTATGCTATTAATTCAATAAATATCTTTTACAGTTGAAATAAATGAACAAATCAACGTAAAACTCACCATCTTGATCTAGTAATTGAAATAACTCTTCAAAATCATGATCTAATTTCTTCTTGTATATTCGTTCAACAACAAAAGCGCATAATTCTGAAAAATCTAATTTTCCGTCTCCTATAATGTGCATGTAATTGTAGTAATATGCCTTTTCAGCTTTAAGGAAAATACTTACGATCAACATCTAACTCAAAGATCAAATCTTGTAATTCAGCTTCTGTTAATGCATCGCCTAATGCTCTCATAACGAGCAGTATATCACCAGCTGTAATAACACTTTTATGATGTTGAGCTAAGACAGAGAAAATGCTAGATAACCCTTGGAATAAACAAAATGACAGTAGTTTTAATTCCATTTAAAGCGAAATATACTCAACATTTGTGAAGTATTTATATGTTGACTTGCACCGGTCACAAGTTTACGAACCTGTTCAATGAAAGTGAATGGAAAGTCAAGCTGATTTATTATTAGAGGTAGCATATATATTATATTTTTTATAATCTCCAGGGAACTCAGCTTTCCGTGACATTTAAGCACATTTTCGATGATGCAGTATATAGCATAGTCTTCGAAGTATGTTGGCGATGAATAGCCCTGAGAAATACTGGATTGCTTTTTATATTGTGTCAATAGTAGTTTCAGATCGAAATTTCTTTGAATAGTCGTTTTCAAACTTGTGAGTTCGAATTTTCAAGACACTGCGAGCTTTCGTGATTTTTCAAATAGCATTTCGTAAGATAATCGGGAAGTGAATAATTAAAATTCATAATTTTGTACAAATCTCTTTCCAGTAATTAACTTCGAATATGGAATATCATTGTGTTTTAACTTCATTGCACAAGCTAGTGGCTATCAGGACTCAGCAGTTAAGTAGATAACGTGATGGCGTTTGAAGCGAACGGTACTGGTGTTCGAATCCCGGAGTGAACATCAACTGTGGGATGCAGATACTCCCAACTGACGAACCCCCAATGGGACAAAACGTGTGTCCTGGATCCCATTGTTAGCCATCATTAATCATTGTGCTTTATCATTTAATTTGTTGATAAATATAAAGTCCTTGGCTAATCAATTTTACAAATCGGAGATAGACTTATTTACTATACACTAACCAATTTTTGATCATATCTATTTCTCAACAATGTTTTAGTTTTAATCAAGTTTAACGTTTAATGATTCTGCCTGTTTCTTAGAGTATGAAACTATAAAATCCTTAAAAAATACCACCTTAATTTCAAAATACGTTGTTTGTTTACTTTCAAAATATCTTATTTGTGAAGCCTTTTAAGACAAAGGTGTCTAAACACGATGTCTGATCTGCAATCTTAAAGATAGAAAAAAATAGTAGTGAAATATGTGTATTCACGATACATCAAGAGTAATCAATTTTAAAATAAAAATTCGTTGTTTATAAGGGTTTCTATTTGAACTCAGTAGTTCAAAGGATAATGAATTGATACTTGGAGCCATAGATAATGGGTTCAGGTTTCAATGTAAACATCAGTAAGTGGGTGCAAATACATTCAGCTGACTTATCCCAAGTCAAAGAAAACACGTGTCAAGTACTCCACTGCTAGCTACAATCTAATTTGATTAAATCTCATTATTGTTTCATGACTTTATAATGGAATTCTATAAGCTTTCAGTAGATTATAACAATTTACTAAAAATTATTAGGTTAAATATTGTTCTATAGTGTGATGCTTATTAAGAATTTTATTATAAATCAATTAAGGCTATATCGAGGCAATACGCAGAGTATGCACATATGCCAATTAGAGACTGACCAGTTGCAGTCCTAATAATCAAGGGGAAGATTCAAACAAACAATACTAAGTGAATTTAAACTTCACCCGATTGCACAAGCAAGTGGCTATCAGGATTCAGTGGCCGAGTGGATAACGCGATGGCGTTTGAAGCGAAAGGTGCTGGGTTCGAGTCCCAGAGTGAACATCAACTCTGAGATGCAGGTACATCCAGCTGACGAGTCTCAAATAGGACGAAACGCGCGTCCTGAATTCCACTGCTAGCCACTATCCATCTTTGCTCACAATCAATAAAGTTGTTTGAATGTGCTCACGATTTTATGTAAGTTAAGGAATTAATTCGTATTATTATAGTTACTTTCTTTCAATAAAATAAACTCATATCATATGAATCGGGATCATATACATTTATTGGTAAAAAATCACTATAAATGAATGAATATTGGTTTTCATTATTATTATTATTATTATTATTATTATTATTATTATTATTATTATTATTAAACTCACGGTACTCCATTTTCCATACTTTTTATTTTCTTGCTGATCTTTCTCTGCGTGTTCCGGTTCAATTGTTTTCTTTACATGTGTCCCACCGGGTCGAAAATTTACGTAATCTTCATCTTGTAAAACCATGATAGTAAGAAATGGATAGGATCATAAAAATTTGATGTTGTGATTAAAGTAGACTTTACACAACCAACTATTTTATTTCGATCTATTGTCATAGTACTATGCTGATGAATGATTGGTTAAATAGTTGATTGACCTGAGTGGCTTATACGTATGTATTAGCAACCTAATGCGACCCGTCTTTATACAGGTGTTTATTGAAAAAAATCAATCTATCCTATCAAAAGAATACAATTCTTTATTAAATTGAATTTGGAATTTAATAATTTTTTATTTATTTCAGAATTCATTGAATATTTTTCCACTCTCGTACAGTCGATTGGATAGTATTCAAAGTTGAGAAGGTGAGGGCGATTTTCAAGGAGATTGTTTTCATAGGCACTCAATCGGACTAGTCGAAGCCCATATCTTTCAAAGATAGTCCAGTCGATCATGGTAATCATTGATGTGATATCAAACCTATGAGACAGTAAATGCTTCCAAACAGTTTCAGATAAACCTTACTCGTAAATATGGATAAACTGAACCTTTGTATTATTACACGCTGAATATACAGTTCTGAACTCAGTGCTTTAATGACACTGAGTTACTTATCTTACTGAGAAAGAAATTAATTTGATTAGTATTTCGAATCATTATCACGGAAAATGCTGATTAGTTAAAAGTGAAGTTGGAATAAGTTAACCGAACTTAAAAACATTGAGACTAATATAAATATTATAAAATGAACATAGTTCCCCTTTGTATTGTCTACAAAATCTGAATTTTCAGGCAATATATCCATCAACATCATTTCTAAACAACGCGTGAGATTTTTTTGAAACTATACGTAAAGAAAGGTCATTGAATCTAGACAATAAACAAAGGTGCCTTAAAAGAAACTCCACTTCGAAGTTTTTGGTTGTAAACTTTGATTAAAGGTTTATTAGTGCTGATTGATAAGTGGGACAATACTTTCTATCCTCCGAACATTGACAAGTTCGTGTCTTGTCTGAAGTTACATTTACTATTAGAGTAGCGCGAATAGAAGTGTATGTTTGCGTGTATAGCGAAAGCAACCGAAAACGTGAGCTTATAACCCAGTTAGAACATAAGAAACATATTTATTAGTGATACCTACCGAGGGTAATTAGGGATTTATGACCATTAGTGTAAGACGGCCAAGCTAAGGAGCTAGTTAGGATTGACTTATTTTGTGACTAGTTTGTGCTACTATTTGCATTTTTTTATTCATTCTCATAATTGGTACATTTATTATGAGTGTCTGTAAAATAGTTGCTTAAAGACACATGACCTTTATTTGGATATACATCTCGAACTATATCAATTGTGATTAGAATTATTAACTATTTATAATTGTGAGTTTCTAGACCAAAAGGAACTCAAACACTCCAATTCCTGACAATTTAAGAAACGTCCAGTATATTTTTCTTGTGTGTATAGATTATATTTAAAATTGTTAAGTCGGCTTACAGTAAACTCTATCAGAGCCTCCAGAGGCTCATAAAGAGCCCAACCAATCAGCGATTAGTTAGAAGCTATGCTACTAAAATAACGAGGTCCTGATTGGCTGTTTAACATACTGCTACTATGGAATCTCAAGGTCTTTTAATTACTATAAAACCCCTGTTTTTCTGTACATAAATGAGCCTTGTAGTAAAGTACCTCTCTCATACTCGTGTCTTCTTACTGGTGTTCAAGTCGCAGAGTAGTGCTAGCCTGGGGTTATCCGAATAGCTTAGGATTTGAATATAGCTTTCAACATACAAGATATAACAAAAATATTAATACATTAATTTTTAGACGTAATAACTTTATCATTATTTTTGGAATTGATATATTCTTGGTCCACCACAGAGTAACTGAATATAGACAGATACAAGATGAGTTTTCAGTTATGTTAAAATTTTTATCTTCGTAAATACTTCAGTAAAAAGATATTAGCATGGGATGAACTTTTGAAAATCATTGGCGCTCTGGTAAGTTTTCTAAATGAACGGTTGATCCAACTTTCTAGACGCTTCTAATAAACTCAGGCTAAATTTACATGATATCTTGAACATAAGAGAAAAGGTGCGAAGTGCGAAAAGAACGCTTAACTTCAAGGTTACTTTATATACAGAAACACGAGGGTGTGTATGAAGTTACACACAACCTTCGGCTCCTGGCAGTTTCTGGAAACATTTTAAATATAGAACCAGTGTATGTAAATATCCAGCCCGAAACATAATACATGACTCTTTACTTCCTAGATGTTTCTTAAAAGTTTCTATTCAACTTAGGTTGGATAAAATATTTTACATATTTTTCTGGGTTCTTATGAGATTTTCCGAGGAATTCTTTGGAACTCCCCAACATGACAATAGGTACAGTTTGTTTTTAAGAAAGAACAATCTCAGTTCGAAATTAAATATGAAATTCTATTTTGGTTATTATTTCAATTTCGTTTTTCGCAATAGATAAGTTCAATTTTTCAGTTTTTACTTTTATTACATAGAACAGCTATTTGTTTTTGTTTGGATAATATTTACAAGATCTTATCAACGGTTCTAACAGTCCACGATTTTTCGAGAAATAAATGTGTGGTGTTTGTATGAACTAATGATTCTTTTGTACTTGGTGACTGCTTGATTTCAAATTCCAAATACAATACATTCGTTCGTGCTCATCTAGTACTTCTTGGTTAAAGTGCGTAATTTATGGGATTCCTAGTTTGTACCATGATTCATAAACTTAAAGTCACCACAAAATGATATTTTAATCAAAATGAAAGTCAAATAGTTTATAGAAATATTGTTAGATCAAATTTATTCTTACTACTGAACAATTGTTTTAATTAGGATAATGAAAAAACCGTTTACTCTTCATCACAAACCCAAATGGATTCCTACTTCAATGACGTCTTATTTATCTAGTCTTGCAATGTAATTCTCTTGTTCACTTTATGTTTATTTTTTCAGATATCATGTATTGTTATCTTTTCTGTATTTTTAATATGTAACACTTCCTATTATAATCGTACAGTTTGATTTGAAGAACTTTAGAAACTATTGAAACGTTCAGCTATGATTTTGTTCATCTGATGTATGAATTATAAGGTTACAAACATTTCAATAAATTAGCTGTTTTACTTACCCAACTAACTTCAACAATGTTGACTGTATCTGTATTCAAGAGTTTCATTCTTCGAAGTGAAGTGATAAATAAATTAGGTATTCCAGAATCTACCACTCAAAATACGTGAGATCTTGAATAAGTAAGAGATATGTTTCTGTATTAGCTTAGGAATTACACAGAAAATCCAGTAAAAGAAGTACAAGTCAACAAAAGTCTATTTCTAAGCAGTTGGAGAGAAAATAAAAAGTATTTCAATTCTTCATAACAATATTATGCTATGAATATGTTCTTCGTGTGATGAACTCTGTGAGTTCCAGGGGTTGACTACATCATGGTGTAGTGAAAGATTGTAAACAGTACAATGATGTACAATATATGTTGTGTGGTATGGATTCCTAATCATTAATTTGTAAGTTTTCTTTGGTATTTTTGCTAATCAGAACGCCTAAGAAAGGAAGCCTTTTGATTATTTTTTTCCGCAATGTATATGAGGTTTTGTTTCAAAACAGTTGGTCTTTTTGTAATCTCTGTTTAATTCACTTCATCTTGTACTGCTTAACGTCTAACCTGAAGGGACTTTTCATACTGGGGAAGCTTGAATAGAAATATGAGTGAGGAAATTTTGAAAAGAGTAAAACGCGAGGGAAAGTAAGACAAGGATTTAGTAAGTGCATATGATGTACTTAAAGCTTGTATGTAGAGCTAATCAAATATAGGCCGGGTAATAAGTAAGAGATGTTGATGGGAGTGCGCTTTTGGTTGAGGTTTGGCATAACTTTCTAAGGAAACAGATATACTTTATTGATTGGAAATTCGGCTTAGTTTACTGAGGTGGATAGATACATATTTATGAATAAGTCGTGAATATATTTTTGAATGAGGTCAGCCAATAGAAGCTTCTTACTCACTCTTGATTTCCATAATGAAGTATTGAACTCGGACGACCGCAAAACATAGTATCAGTTAATGATGACAGCAATCGATAATAACTGACAATAAAACAATAGCGAGATTAAAGCAATCCGATAATCACAACTAGAAGTCCTAGCATGAGATTTGAAATCCTTTACACATCTTATTATTTGAAATGTGCGTTTTGCCTATTGAATCTAGATTTTCAGTCAGACTGTGGGCAAAACAAAATCCTTCATTATTTGTGTCACCATTTTTGTGATAAACTGGACATAGCCAGTGCCAATTTCCTCCTGTGTTTATCTACATGTTGTTATTAAGTTTGAAATATATTAATAAGCACGACCTTATTAGCTCTGTTAGGATTAGGTATAGATGTTTAGTATTTTTCAAAAGAGTTCAATCATTTATTATTGTAACATTTCAGTTCATTAGGATAAGTTACTTAAATAGTTGGAAGGATAACATATTACTCCACTATTCTTATATTTTATATTGATAATGTCCAAAGAAGTAATATAAGTTTCTCAGTCGAATCACCTATATTAAATAGTCAAAAATTTGTAAAATAAACTGCATAAGCTACAAAACTTGCCCTATCATCTATCATTAAGTGTTTAAATAAAAGAATATTTATTGGATGTGCATGCAGACAATAGTTATATCATGAATGAATGGCATCGACAGGCAATAAATAGCCACACAAAATTCACCTGCATATTGTGGTGCTATATACGAATATACCTACACGAATTAGCTTCTATTTGGATAGATGATAAAATTAGGCATGTGATGTATACTATTTAACAGATATAAGTAGTATGTAGCACCGATGGAAATGGGATGCATGCTAGAGGATGATTGGGTAGATTCAATTGAAGAAAACAGAAAGTGATTATGATGACAACGGAGTTGCAAGGAACATACAGCATTTTAAGGATAACTGGTGGATGTGCAAATTATGGATTCGACTTATAGTTTTCATATTTTACTAAAGTACTCTGTAATTTTTCATTAGATTG